GATAGTCAAACATGACAGCTATGTTGTATGGAGATAAATCTTAACGATAGTCTCACATGACAGCTATGTCGTATAGAGATAAATCTTAACGATAGTCTCACATGTCGGCTATGTCGTATGGAGATAAATCTTAACAATAGTCTAACATGACGGCTATGTCGTATGGAGATAAATCTTAACGATAGTCTAACATGACGGCTATGTCGTATGGAGATAAATCTTAACAATAGTCTCACATGTCGGCTATGTCGTATGGAGATAAATCTTAACGATAGTCTCACATGTCGGCTATGTCGTATGGAGATAAATCTTAACGATAGTCTCACATGTCGGCTATGTCGTATGGAGATAAATCTTAACGATAGTCTCACATGTCGGCTATGTCGTATGGAGATAAATCTTAACGATAGTCTCACATGTCGGCTATGTCGTATGGAGATAAATCTTAACGATAGTCTCACATGTCGGCTATGTCGTATGGAGATAAATCTTAACGATAGTCTCACATGTCGGCTATGTCGTATGGAGATAAATCTTAACGATAGTCTAACATGACAGCTATGTTGTATGGAGATAAATCTTAACGATAGTCTAACATGACAGCTATGTTGTATGGAGATAAATCTTAACGATAATCTTACATGACAGCTATGTCGTATGGAGATAAATCTTAACGATAGTCTCACATGACAGCTATGTCGTATGGAGATAAATCTTAACGATAGTCTCACATGACAGCTATGTCGTATGGGTGAGTGGGTGAGTTTGGTTTAACGCCGCTTTTAACAGTATTCCAGTTATATCGCGGCGTGTCAGCTAAATGTGGGAGGAAAGCCTGAAGTGATGCAGGTCTCAGACGTTTACCACTTCGGTGAAACCCACGAGCACGGGTATGGTGCTGACAAACCTACAAACATAATCGGGGCGAACCGGGATTCAAACCCACAATCATAGGTTTCTGGCGTGCCCAAGGAACGCAACTCTGCACAGCGATTCGCGGCGCCTTAGACGACTGGAAATACGGAAATCTTACATTTCCCTTTGAAAAAAATGATCACTATTTGGCGGGATATTATAGCACAATGATTATAGAGTTAAATCGCGCCATATTTCAGATTTTCAAATATACCTTTGATTTAATGATTCCATGGATCGAAATTACAATCTTAGTATCTGTAGCCTTGTGAGTGAACCACACGGAAACAGAGGAGCCGATAATTCTCAAAGCTTGTATTAATCCCCTTTAAGTACATGTACGCCAGCAAGAGGGAGATTACATCCGTTTCAAAAGGTTCATGGAAAGTGCATGAAACTTAAAAAACGTTGCTAAATGTTGGTTCAGAGGTTTTGGTTTGGTTTATAAGTAAGATAAAACACTTCCCCTCGGAGGAGGATCTTAACGTCAGTATTGGTTGGTTTGTTGTTTAACGCCGCACTCAGCAATATTCCAGCTTTATGAGAGCGGTCTGTAAATAATCGAGTTTGGACAAGACAATCCAGTGATTAATATCATGAGTATCGATCCACGCATTTAGGGTCGATGGCATGTATCAACCAAGTCAGCGAGCCTGACCACCCGATCCCGTTAGTCACCTTATACGACAAGCATAGTCGCCTTTTACGGCAAGTATGGGTTGCTGAAGACCTATTCTACCCCGGAATCTTCACGGGTCCTTAACGTCAGTAACACCCAGGGGGAAGTGTTCTATCCTACGTCTGACAACCAAAATGTTCTCTAACAGACAAGAAAGTTATATTGACCTAAAATGTCATCTTGAAGTTTTTGTTTGTTTGTTGTTTAACGCCACACTCAGCAATAATCCAGCTATATAACGGCGGTCTGTAAATAATGGAGTCTGGGCCAAATTACACAAAGAGATCGTTGCGCTAAGATGATCGTAACTCCCATACTTTAACGTAGGCTTACAATAGTCGTAGTGCTAAGATCGCTTTGTGCAAGTCGGCCCTGGGACATACAATCCAGTTATTGACATCAGGAGCATCGATCCACGCAATTGGAATACGATGACATGCATCAACCAAGTCAGCGAGCCTGACCACCCGATCCCCATAGTTGCCTTTTACGACAAGAATGGGTCGCTGAAGACGGATCTTCAGGGTTCTTATCTTGAAGTAGCGCTGAAAAGTAACACAATAAACATTTTATTTTCCATCGCGACTGACATATGTACTGTTTATAATACAAATAATATGTTCAATGATACCCAGCTTAATAAAATCCCGAAAGTAAAGCAAACACTAACACATTTTTCAGACAATGGGCAAAGCGTTGTGCAAACCAGTACATGAACCAGTACCTGCAGCGGTTGTGTCACAGTTCGAGGCTGGCGTACAGTATATTGATGATCTCATGACGATACTAGACTCGGGATCAAAGGACGTTAAGGGTGTGATAGAAAATGCGTATGGGGCATTTGTAGGCGCTGAACGAGAGCTTAAACAGCATATCAACACTTTGACTAAAATCTGTCTTGCCAAGGGAGCGGAGCTTTCACAGAAGCAGAACCAGCACCAGCAACTTGGCGTGTCTTTAGCAGCCTTGAGTGCATCACTTCATGCTATGAGAAGCAACTTACAGGAGCAGACTAGTAGGGTGTCTAGTGCCGAAGAGGATGTTCAAAAAGCAGAGCAAAGCGTTCAAACAGCAAGGGAAGAGTTTCAAAGAGCTGAAAAGCATCGAAATGACGTACGAACAGCTGGTTTGGCGCTGATATGGATCCCATTTGTCGGAGCGACAATGCTGGCTGTCTCTGAAACGGCTCTTAAAAATGATGTGGAGAATGCCGAACACTGTCTGAATTCAGTTCGATCGACACTCTCTAACGCAAAGGACACTTTGTCAGCGATGACAAATGATTGCCAGCAAACTGAAAATGAGTTACGAAGAAAAACAGATGAAAAAGCGAATGTTGCTCATCAGAGTAGTCAGATAGAGGACTACATTCAATTCAGCAGGGATTACCTAACAGAGCAAAGCACAAGTCTGACTAAGATGCGAAAGGTTATTGACACTCTCAGCATGGTTGCAGGACGAGCCGAGATCTTAAGGGATGAAACAAAAATAATGTATGAAATAGCACAGATCGGAGAACCCTTGAAGAGCTTGGTTGACAGCTTAGAGAAAGCAGGGGTCACTAGATCGGACGTGTGGATTAAGGTTCTCTCGCGCCCTGCTTTCAAGGCTGTTGGGGCTGCAGGTGGAGATGACTGGTGAAGGGAAACATTCTGTCATCGTCAACTGCGTTGTGCAATGTAATGGCTTCCCAAAGCCCTGCCTACTGTTCACGAGTACAAATTGTAAGCGGCACCCTTCAAATCTGTGGGGTTTATTCCGTGTAAAGTTTCAAACTCACAAGACACAGCGCACATACTGTGTCTTCTTGTAAACTAATGCATTTGTAAAAAAATAACTTTAAAATGATTTTTTGAATAAAAATAGTTTTGTCTTTTTAATTGTGCAACAATATTTAGTACCGGACACTGGACGTAGATGTATGGATCGTTACAAAACCACATCAATTCGTGGTGCTGTTATTGTTCAATTGTTCAATTATAGCAACGTGGAGCGAAACGTGGTTTGGTAGCTTATGATGCTTTCAGTAGCGAGTGATGTTTTCATATTGTCGAAGAGGTTTAGCCGTTTTTTAAAGTTACATCGTCTTCAACGACATGTCCAATTTCACGTTTATTGTATAGTTGGTTGTTTAACGCCGCACTTAGCAATATTCCAGTTATATGATGGCGGTCTGTAAATAATCGAGTCTGGATCAGACTATCCAGTGATTAATATCATGAGCATCAATCCACGCAATTGGGATCGATGACATGCCTCAACCAAGTCAGCGAGCCTGACCACTCGATCCCGTTAACGACCCCTTTTACGACAAGCATAGTCGCCCTTTACGGCAAGCATGGTTTGCTGAAGACTTATTTTATCCCAGATCTTCACGGGTCTTTTTGTATAGAAAGAAGTACAGTTAAACCTGAATAGCTATCTTTTGAAGAACGCTGAGACAGGTCGAATAAGAATATCGCAGTGAAAACAGCTACAGTTATAAGAGACTAAGAGCAATTAGAAGCTGAATGATGGGATTCGAACCGCAGACCAGCGGATCCTGTGCAGCCAGATATACAGCGATTAAAGGTGAATGACTTCCTTATAAAGCCAATTACATTCATTACAGATAACACACATTTGTCTGGAATACCATCTACACACAATGTAAGTCTACATCGTTCTCTACCACTGTTATGAGATTAAATAAAAAATGCAGCAAAGATGGTTTGGGTTATCCTGGCACAGTCAGGCTGGTTAGGCTCATCATCAGCACAGGGCCCTTGCCCCCTCTACACGCAGCCCACACAGCGAATGATGGGACTTCTCCCTGGAAGCGCTGCCTAGTCGAACCCACCCAGAACTTTTCGGAGAATGTGAAGACTTCCAAACACTACAGCTTTCTGCATTACCCAGATTGTTAGGAGGGCTGTATTCCCGGATACACTCCCAATGTCAAACAGATTGGGGGGGTACCAAACCTAAGTCACCGAGAACAATTGGGAGTCGGACACCCTCGTACTTGTGATGCATATTTGCCATTTTTTCCCTGAATCTTGTCAATCAAATTAGTGTCAAAAGTGACAGAAAATTCAACGATATAAATGATGTATTGGATGTATAAAAAAAGACTAAATCAGGCTTGTTGGCCTCGGTAGATCTGAGGCTGTATACGGGCCTATTACAAAGAATTTTATATCAATTTTATCTTTTTCCATGACGACTATGCATATTCTGGGTCGTACCATGGATGGACAGCTGTGTCCAGATAGCCTCTCCTTGCAAAAACTGAGTCCGGGCCAATCTGATATGGCACTTCCTTGGTTGAGATTCATTTTTATATCGTCCAGCATTACAGAACCATCAACAAAATCAAAATTGACATTATTATTATTATTATTATTATTATTATTATTATTATTAGATAAGAAGAGTACTTGCCATGGCGGATGTTAGCAGACAGGACATTGCAAAGGCAGAGAAAAGGGTGATGAGCCCAACCGATGCAAAGGTAAATATTTTTATTGTCACATCTTGATGATCCACAACAACTCCACTCTCTAAGCTGTGGATGTCAGTTACTACATTGAATGTTGTTTAATATCACAGTCAGCAATAGTGCAAGTGTTTCACGGCGGACTGAAGATGGCCCAATGGTCATGATGACGCACCACCAGCAAGGTGACCACTCTGGACCAGACATTGTCGCCATTAACGGCAATATTACGTCAAGGATGGGTAGTTGAGACGTGTTATATCAGTTGAAATGTTATGTAGGTGTGATTGTTCGGAGAAAGTTATAACATAGTGATTAAACAAATTCCCTGTCACAACTTCTGTGATAAAAGAATTCCTTTTTTTAAAATATTCAAAAGGTCAAAGACTTACTGTTGTCATCTGGACTAAGTGTTGTTTCTTTGCTTATATAACTTTCAATGAAATTGCAGGAAGACATGATGTTGGTCCTCGGGCCTCACATGAACTGGCAGGAGATGCTGAGCCCGGCCCCACTGTCGGTGTGTCTCCTGGGTCAACTGGTGCTCGTCACACTGGACAAGGACGTCTCGCTGGTGTCAGAACACATGGACAGATCTGCTTTCAAGTACACGAAGTACCCTGATTCATTGAGGACAAGCATCGTTCAGGTCGCCAACCAGGGATGGACATCCTTCAGCTGTGCCAACAAAAACATGGACCAGATCCGTCTGCTCACGCTGCAGATACCTCTCCATGTCAAGAATGCTGTGAAGGTAGATACAGAAAGTTTCATTCAGTAACGGTATGATAAACGAAAAGGTTAAAACTATACTGACTTTTGACATCATTTCCATGTCCTGGTCAATTTATCAGAAGGTACTGAGATCATATTATACATTTATAACACTTGACACATGTGCATTCCTCATGCGATCCCTTATCTGATCTATGAAGTATGTATGACTGACACTATTCATGTAGTATAGATATTGTACCTTGTGATCATATGATCTTTGCAGTTTATCATTGGGGGATCTGATGAGGAAATACAAGAATTGGTACCGGATATTTTGTCTAACATAGAAAGGATTACTGATACCTGCATCGTAAAGGCAGAGGAAGTGGAAACACAGTTTTCTGACGTCATGGATTTGATAGGCGAACTACAAGAGGCCTGCACATTTTCAAAGGGGGAATATGATGACAAGATCAGGAAAGCTGAAAAGGACATTGAAGTGAAATCAACGCGCAAGATTGCATTAGAAGAAAGAAAACAACACGCTGAAGAGGAATACAAAGAAATGCGAGAACAATTCAGAAAAGCTCAGGAGTCGTATGAAAAAGCCATGGACTCCATGCCCTCTGGATGGGAAATGCTGGGAATGGATTTCGTGGAGGGACTAGCCAAATGTGCTGTCACAGCAGTCCAGGGCGTCACAAGTATGTTCGCGATGAAATCTGTTGGTGGAAAGGGAAAGAAGACAAGAGGCACAGCGTCTGTGCAATCCCAAACAGGAACGTCTGAGGATGCATTCATGTTGGAGCTTCCAAGAATTTCTCTCTGCATACAGAACGTCATGGAAAACTTCGTCTTGCTTTCTGAGGGGAAAGAACTTGATACACTGACTCTGGTCGAGTCGACATTAAGTGACGTCATTAGTTCGCTTGCATCCTACTCAGGTGTGTGCCGGGACAAATTCGATGGCATCAAGGAGGATGCGTCTCAATTGATCCAGATTTTGAAGGATGCCAACAAGCAACTGACAGGCAGGGAACAGCAAGTGGAGAAAGCGAGGGCGGTGGTAGTTAACCTAAAGGGAAAGATGCAAGGTTTGAAAGTGTTTTGTGACACAGCATTTGGAGCAAAGCCATTACAGATGCCGACCCCAAAGATGTCATCACATGAGCAAGGACAATCTGACTCAGCCTCTTCAAGACAAAGTGCGCAAGCCAGATTTAAGGTTGAACAAGCTTCATCTACCCTTGAGACCGTTAGAGATGACTTCAGAGCAAAAAGCCAGAAGCTAGAGAAAGTCAGTGAAGACATCACTGCAGTTATCACCGAGCTTGCGCGGATCCAACTGGACAAGGTAGACTTTGACCAGATCAAAGCCTTATTGCAGAGAGGTATCAAGGCTATTGGTGAAGTCAGAACCCAGTGGGGAAAATTGGTGCGATTTTTCCAAACAATATCCAACATTATTAAGTGCAGCATGAATGAAAATGTGAAGAATTTTCTACAAACAGCTGAGAAGGGGAAGAAGTTTCGTCTGAAGTACACCATGTCGGACATGCTCAGAGATATGATCTACGTACAAGCCACCGATGCCAACACCTTGGCCTACATGGTTAACAACCTCGCTGAGATGTATGTTGAAGTCTCCCAGAAGCACTTGATGGATCAAGTTGCAAGTCTTGGTGAGTTGCTTGGACTGGATCCGGAAAAAGACAAGGCTGCAATTTCTAAAAGACAAACAGAACTGGAAACACAAGCGAAAGCCGCCACTGCCTCAATTGCTGTCTTAGTTAAACAGAAGCAGAAAGAATTTGACACAAAGGTGAAGAGCAGAATAGAGAGAATTGAAACAGAGATGAAAGCAGTTCTTCCTCCACCTGAGCCGACAAACGCAGAAATCGAGAAGGAGAAGAAGAAGGCCATCAAAGAAGCCAAAGAGCTGAAGGCTAAACTAAAGGCAGAGGATGTTGATGACTGGGTGTGACTTCTGATCATTCACCTCACAACTGCAGGGTTCCAGGTGTGGACAATACCACAGAACCATGCCTAGTTTATCATAGTAACCAACAACTTCAGTAAACTAATTTACACTGATGGCCTGAGTAAGGGATTATAGAGTGCTTCTTTCAGTATTGGCTAACTCCCTCGGCGCTTCATTAACTTTTATTAATGCTTGGTTTAAATCTTGACCATGTTTGGAAACCTAATTTACCTGTGACCTTCTCCCTTATCTATTGAAAATAATACTAGTAGCGAGGTTTCAGTGTGAGGACATCAGACTTGGCAGTTGAACGTAGCCATCATATAAAGACTCCATATAAAGAACGTATCTTTGTATTCTCCCATGCTGGAGGTCGTGATTGTGTGGAAGATGAACTACATATATAATGGATATGTGACAGCTATTCCCAACAGAGAAGAGAATGTTCCGCCCCAATTGCTGGATGATCAGTATAAATATGTGTCTGAACATCAAAGACGTCTGTCATAGTTTGTGACTATTCTCATATAATTTCCGCCATATATGTACTGTTCCAAAGCAGTCATTTTATTGGACATGTGATTATGTTATAAACTCCAAATAGAAATGTGTTTCACTTCACACTGTTGCTATATGTATGCTCTCCTTTCTAAATAAACCAGATCCTGAATGCTGGTGTTGACTACTTGTGCAAATTTCATCGCCTATAAACGCAAATTCTGTCAAATACAGCCCCTAAAACCTAAATACTACCACCGTGGTGTTGTGGATAGGACATCGGCTCAGAGAGTGTAGTAAGTGGTTCGATCCCCTGGTCGCATCACACCAAAAGACGTTAAAAGATGGTACTTGTTGTTACCCTACTTGGTGCTTGGCACAAAGGGAATAACACAGCCAATGGCCGGCTTTGTGTCTGACTGGGTTATCCGTGTTAAACTGCGGCTTGGTATCACAGTGCGCTAGCACTATAATACTAGCAAAGTCCACACAAATACAACCAGTGACATATGTGCATGCAAGTCACCATAGAAATTAAATCGCTTAATTGCGACGCTAACCCCGTTTCACCTCACCACCTCCCTTTGGAACTCAAAGTTGTTACCAATGTGGAAAGTGTACCTGGCTGACAGGTGTTTTTTTATAAATGGCTCCTCTATGTCGCAATATCGCTTAACCATGTCGCGATATCACAAAGCCGTGTCGTACTATCGCAAAGTCGCTATAGGTTACACACAACCAAATGTTTTCCCATAGACTTCTATAGTAACGTTATGATTTTTCTTTAAATAACTAAGCATTCAACAGCTATTACCTGTACGTGTGTGCACAGTTTGGCCTTAGAGCAGCAATAAAAAAAATAAAAATGACTAGCTTACCCAGCTCCTTTTCCGAGTACCGGAAGCTAAACACACCACCCCCAGTTTCGCACCAAATGTCACCTACTTGAAAATAGCTGTGGTCACATTCAGCATAAGTCATCATGTTGAAAAAGACAGTACTAAATATAGAAAAACATGGTCAGTTTTAATAACTGGATGGATGTACATTTGAAAGACATAAAAATCTTACAGAATATCCTCCAATCACAGCCTGCAGATATCTCTCGATCTGCACTGAAGGCTCCCTACGAAAACCGCACTCTCCAAACTGGTACTGATTTGGTGTAGTAGAACCTGTAGACAAATCAGAATATATTTGCACTTGTCAAATCTGTGATTTATATATTGTATATATATGTGGCTTCTCAGAAAAAAAATGGAAATTGGATTAAACTTCACTACTTGTTCCTATCCAGCATGTCTATATGGCACCAGAATACATAGTTTTGATGCACAGAAAGAGTTGTGAGAGTTTAATGGTGTACACTTCATCAATGTTTTACAAAAGGTATTTCTGTATTAATAAAGAAGTTTTTACCTTCATGCACTGACCATGGAAGTTCATTTATATTTCATAAAAGATGGTGGTCAGGGGTCAATTCTATAAATGATTGAGGCTGCATAGATCATATCACCCTAAAATATTTTTTCGACTAAAAAAATTGAACAAATCTTTAAACCTCAAAACCAGTTACAATACATATTTAAAATTGAGTAGTGGTCTGTTGTTTGCCTTCCTTTGCTGACATCATCAGAACATAGCAGAGTCTGCTACATTCATGGAATATGGTTTTGACACTCATGACATGATGCGATTGATATTGTTTGAGATTGCTCGAACTTACACCATCCATTGTTTATATAATTAAACACTCAAATGGCTGTCAGGATTTGGTAAATCATCTATGGAGGGGCTATCACAAATGTTTGTGCTTTCATATACTCCAAAAATCAAAAGTATAATCCTCTATGATATAGGCTGATGACATAAGTACACATGGAAAGGAATCAGAAAAAAATCTCAAAATTGGACAGAGAGCATGGAATTCAGGCCAACAATAAGCAAGGGACACATTAAGCAGCTTTAAAGTCATCATATATGTAAGGCTGGATAATGAACTTTACCAGAAAATAGGAAGTAAAGGGGTGCATTGTTAACAGCAATCTCAAATGCTGACCAGTGAACCATACCGCCTATTAAAGCCGAGAAATTGAAATGGACCCTCAAGTAGAAAAAAGCTTTTTGAAACCACAACATGGAAGGAAATTACATTTAACTCTATTGATTTATTTAGTTAAGACTTTAAAATACTCACAGGACATCAAACATTCTTACTGTTTAATGTTTCAAGGTGGCTAAACTTGCTTATTTCAGTTATTTGCCAGTTTCAATGAAACAAAGTTAAAATTCCATATAATTATGAAAATGTACAGCTTATCCTGACATAAATGTAATTCTTTTTATTCACAATTAACAGTGTCATGCAATACCAGCTTAAAATAGTGTTTCTCTCCAATAATTTATGGGTTTATAGGGGAATGAAAGATACAATGCATTTTACTAAACAGGGGAGATAATTTAGTTTTGTCGAACACTATCACATTCTTTACAGATGATTTCAGAACCATAATGTTACATTCCAAAAGAGCCAGTGGATATTATTTTCATCTAAGCAGGTTCTGGGACTGGTGTATAGCCCTTACTTTATGTTTGCAAACTAAAAAACTGCACAGTGAGGCATTAAGGGAGCACTGTCAGAAATGTCTAGTGCATGAGGGTGATCTTATTATGGCACTTGATAGTGAGCAACAGAGGGGCCTCAAGTGGACTGGGGTTCTTAAATGTACTTACTGTACCTACATGTCCAAGTTCCACAACTTCTACAAGGTAATAAAGCGCAGCGAGGCAAAACAAGGGTTGTCGATCACACACTGCCAACACCGGACTTCGGATCAGCTTCTCCAAATGCCAAATTCGATGTCGAAACTCCTACTTCTTCTGCATGAGTGCACATATACCTCCCCAGTCAACATCAGGCATGTGAAAAGCTGAAAAAAGTGTTCAGACAATATCAAATGGCAAACCAGTTTGGATATAACAGCCAGGAGTCAGTTCTTGAGGGGACAAAATAATTATTTGAAAGTTATATGAGTGAAAAATAAGTCTGTTTTAAGAAACTTAATAGAAAAATAGCATCATTCATTCACACAAGAGCACCTAACAGAAAGACATATTGGTATGCTACATTGTTTACTATAAATAAGGGGATGTTTGACATATTCTGCTGTCAGCAGTGTACATGCTTCATATTCAAGATAACGGCATCGCGTAACTTGACTGGCAAGCGATTGACACAAGGCAGAAATTGTTGTGGCAGTGGTGACTTTATCCTAATTTGTTGTCAAATTCATCAGTTTCAACAAATTCAGAAGGCAGGAGGAGGGCTTGTTGGACAGAGGTACCCTGGGGGGTTCGTGCTGAGTTCGACCACAATACGAAGCAACATTCATTTCCAGCCCATCCAAATGCTCCATTCAACCCAAAATGTCCCCAACTTCACTGTCATTATTTTTAAATTTGCCTCCATGGTGTATCCATGGTGAAATATAAACAGAAAAGCATGTAAAGTATGAATTACTGAAATGTGCACTCACCCTACAGGTTACACACAACCAAATGTTTTCCCATAGACTTCTATAGTAACGTTATGATTTTTCTTTAAATAACTAAGCATTCAACAGCTATTACCTGTACGTGTGTGCACAGTTTGGCCTTAGAGCAGCAATAAAAAAAATAAAAATGACTAGCTTACCCAGCTCCTTTTCCGAGTACCGGAAGCTAAACACACCACCCCCAGTTTCGCACCAAATGTCACCTACTTGAAAATAGCTGTGGTCACATTCAGCATAAGTCATCATGTTGAAAAAGACAGTACTAAATATAGAAAAACATGGTCAGTTTTAATAACTGGATGGATGTACATTTGAAAGACATAAAAATCTTACAGAATATCCTCCAATCACAGCCTGCAGATATCTCTCGATCTGCACTGAAGGCTCCCTACGAAAACCGCACTCTCCAAACTGGTACTGATTTGGTGTAGTAGAACCTATATCGTCTTTATATGTGAGGGCAATGTGGCGATGGCCATAATCACCCACTATACGTCATATACATATAGGTGAAATATTTCTGAGAACAGTATCAGCTGTCATATAGCTAAATCAAATCTTATTACTGCATCATCCGTCATATAGGTGAAATATTTCTGTGCGCAGCACCAGGTGTCATAGTTTAAACACATCTTATTGCTTCATCTTCCGTCATATAGGTGAACTATTTCTGAGCGCAGAATCAGCTGTCACATAACTAAAACACATCTTATTGCTTCATCATCCGTCATATAGGTGAACTATTTCTGTGCGCAGAATCAGCTGTCATTTGGCTAAAACACGTCTTATTGCTTCATCATCAGTCATATAGGTGAAAAATTTCTGAGCACAGAATCAGCTGTCATATAGCTAAAACACATCTTATTGATTCATCACCCGTCATAAAGGTGAAATATTTCTGAGCGCAGAATCAGCTGTCACATAACTAAAACACATCTTATTGCTTCATCACCCGTCATATAGGTGAACTATTTCTGAGCGCAGAATCAGCTGTCACATAGCTAAAACACATCTTATTGCTTCATTATTCGTCATATAGGTGAAATATTTCTGAGCGCAGAATCAGGTGTCATATAGCTAAAGCACATCTTATTGCTTCACCATCCGTCAAAAAGGTGAACTATTTCTGAGCGCAGAATCAGCTGTCATATAGCTAAAACACATCTTATTGCTTCATCACCCGTCATATGTGAACTATTTCTGAGCGCAGAATCAGCTGTCACATAGCTAAAACACATCTTATTGCTTCATCACCCGTCATAAAAGTGAAATATTTCTGAGCACAGAATCAGCTGTCATTTGGCTAAAACACATCTTATTGCTTCATCATCCGTCATATAGGTGAACTATTTCTAAGCTCAGAATCAGCTGTCATTTGGCTAAAACACATCTTAATGCTTCATCATCCGTCATAAAGGCGAAATATTTCTGAGCGCAGAATCAGCTGTCATATAACTAAAACACATCTTATTGCTTCATCATTCGTCATATAGGTGAAATATTTCTGAGCGCAGAATCAGCTGTCATATAACTAAAATACATCTTATTGCTTCATCACCCGTCATATAGGTGAAATATTTCTGAGCGCAGAATCAGCTGTCACATAGCTAAAACACAT